CCTAAATTTTGCAATCAAACCCTGTCCAAGCTCGCGTTCCTCTTTTTACGTCGCTATTTCAATCGCGGCGTTTTTTATGACTACGCATCCCTAAACGTGCCAGTGGGAACCGACCTCTACCGCTTCTGCCAAAGCATTATAGTGCCTTTACTTCGACTCGTCCCTAACTTCTTTCATCCTCTTTTGCACACTAAAGAGGAGTCTGGTGAGTCTACACGTTTCTTTCCATCACCCCTCCCTCACCTCCACAGAGCATGTGCGCCACCTTTCTCGCCTTCAGTTAGTCACTACTGACTCAGTCAGTCACCGTCCACAAAACCGGTCGCACCCATACCTACCTGTTGTCGATAACACTACATTTTTATTTTCTCTTCTCTCCGAGAGAAGGTCTACAACACCGTCGCTGGAGGGTTTTCTACGTTCTCTCATTCTCGATCTAGAACATTTCATTTCTGCAAGCTGTTTGCTTATCCTGTTGGTTTGGGATGAACCAATCGGAGGACTGATGGCTCTCTTCCTTTCCACATAAGAATGGAACTTTTATACGCTGCACAGGATAGCCATAAAGTTCCTCAAAAATACCGATTAATTAGTTATTTTGTTAAAGGGGTGCGCAGGACCAGTGCAGACATGATAATTCAAAATCCAGGTGTGTTCAGACACCGAGAAATGCGAAGCACCTCCGCAATTGTTTAGTTTGGCTATTATTGAACCTGGAAAAACCTTTTTGGTCTACTCGATTGCATCAGGCTTGTTTCGGCTGATCTAGTTTCAAAGAAGGATCTGAGAGGACGCTCCCTTGGCAGAATCATACAAACAAATTCTTCCTGTTTCCCTTAGTCGGGGCGTTCACTTTGTCTAGTAAAATGTATGGGAAATTTGCGTTACAATTAGAGTGCTATCACTTCAGCGTTCCCGAACAATTTTCGTAAAGTGTCCATTTTTCTGTGCTTTTGAAAGATATCCCATAAGCAAGGCAAGTAAGAATATTCCAGCACTCAGTAGTGTAATAAATCGATAAAGTAACCGGCAACTAATGACGTAGAGTAAAGCTAATAATTAGGAAATTACTAGGGGAAGGTCTTGGAGTTAAGTGCCCGGGACATTACTTCCTGGTGCCATCTTCGAAAGTGTAAATAACAATAGAGTGCAAGACAATGAACTCCTGCAGAACCCCTCTGTCACGTTCGTTCGAGAAACAGGTAGTAAAACGACATCTTTATTTTCATTTTACATTTTTTTGTTCATACTCCCAATAGAGGTTTTAACCAAAAGCCCAGACACCTTTTTCGTCTATATTTCTTCGTTTTTATTTTTTTTATCCGAAACCGCCTAGACAACACTGAGGGGGCCCTTTGAGGTGCAGAACTCCTTGCAGTTTCGTCAGACGGCAGCAAAAACCGATGACAAAAGACTTTCCACCTAGAGTACACTGATATTTGAAGCTCTCTTAGGTGAAGGGTCCAAGTGTTATGCTTATGACCTGATCCTCGGATAGGCAACTACATCACTCCGGTTTTGGTATATGAACTAGTGGGTCCAGCACCAGATAACGTTTGATAAGCACCAAACACAGTCTAATTTCTGTTAAAACACTTCCTGTGCACTTTTTATGTCATCAGTGTGATACTTTTTGCACTCTAACGTTTACTTTATCTTTCCTTCACAGAATGTCAGACAACTGCAGAGCAGCAAGGAAGTCCTTATACAAGCCATGAAA